TCTTTCCCTCTCTCTCTCTCTCTCTCTCTCTCTCTCTCTCTCGCTCACTCTGCTCTCTCCTCTCTCTGTCTCTCTCTGTCTCTCTCCTTTCTTTTATTATATCTAGTGTTTTTCATTGCTTCCTGAAAATCTCAAGTATCCACTTGGTATCTCTTCAGCCTGAAGAACTTTTTTATCGTTCTTGAAGCACAGATCTGCTGGTGATGAATTCTTAGTTTTCATTGATCTGAAAAGGTCTTTATCTTGCCTTCGTCCATTTTTTTCTGGATATGTTTATCGAGGTACAATTTACATACTGTAACATTCATTCTTTTAGGTAGACAGTTTGATGAGTTTTGATATGTATTTAGTTTTATAGCCATTACTACAGTCAAGATGAAAATTTCTATCACCCTAAAACATCCTCATTCCCCTTTATAGTCAGTCTTCTCTCAGTACCCTCATCCCTTCGCATCCACTAATCTGATTTTTGTCCTAATAGTTTGGCTTTTCACTGAATCTCATGCAGAGAATTAGACAGTATATAAGCCTTCTGTGTCTGATTTGTTTTACTTAGCACAGTGTTTTGGAGATTCAACCATATTGTTGGATGTTATTGCTGAGTAGTATTCCATGGATTGATTGCACCGTAGTTTCTTTATCCATTTACTAGTTGATGGACATTTGGGTTGTTTACAGTTCTTGGCTGTTATACATAAAGCTGCTTTAAATATTTGTGTACCTGTCTTTAAGTGAAGTATGTTTTTATTTCTCTTGGGTAAATACCTAGGTGTGTATTTGCTTGCTCACATGGTAAGTATATCTAACTTTATTAACAAATTACCATGCTATTTTCTAAACTGGTTCTACCACTGAACATTCCCGGAGCAAGGTAATGAGGGTTACATGTGTTCTACAGCCTTGTTAGCACTTGGTATTGTCATATTTTTAAGTCTTAACCATAGTATTAGGTGTGTAGAAATATCTCATTTTAATTTTAATTTGGATTTTGCCAATGGCTTGATGTTAAACTTTTTCTTAATGCACATATTTGACATGTAATATTTAGTGACTTATCTATTCAGCTCTCATCCATTTTCAAATTGGGTTGTTTCTTATTAAAATGTAAATATTCTTTACAGATCTTGATAAAAAGACTTTACCATATTGTTTTGCAGTTATTTTCTTCTAACCTATGGTTTGTCATTTCATTTTCTTAACAGTATCTTTCGAAGGACAAAAGTTGTAAATTTTGATAACTTCTCGTTTTTTCCTTTATGACATAGGCTTTTTGTGTCTCATTTAAAAAAAATAATATTGACCTAATATCATAAAGGTTTTCTTCTAGAGGTTTTATAGTATTTATACATTTGGATTTATGATTAATTTTTAGTTAATTTTTGTATATACTTAGAGTTGAAGTTGAGGTTGATTTTTTTACATGTCTTCGACCATTTGTTCCAGGACCATTGTTTGAAAAGACAAGTCATTCTCCGTTGAATTACCTTGGCACCTTTGTCGAAATCCATTGGCTGTATAAATTGGGGTCTGTTTTATGCTTTCTGCTGTGTGAAATTTCTACATGTCTGTCCATAACCCAGTTTCATACTAAGTCTGGAAATTATGTAGGATAATTCTTTTAATTTTGTTCTTTTTCATACTGTTTTGCTTTATCTTTCCATTTCCATTTAATATTTTATAATTAGCTTTTTAAAAATTCTGCTGGGACTTTGACTTGGTTTTTGTTGAGCCTCTACATTAATTTGGAGAAAAATTAATATCTTAGTGATAATCTTCTGATTCATTGCCATGGTCTGTCTCTCCATGTATTTAGGTTTTTAATTTTTCTCATCTTTTTTTTTTTTTTGTGAGTCTACTTGTTCTGAACACTTATTGGTAAATTTATCTTTGTTTTTTGACAATATTGTTAAGCGGTACTTTTTAATCTAATTTACAATTTTTGGCTTATAGTATGTAGACTTAAAATGAAATTTTTTTAAATTGCCTTTTATCCCTCAACCTTACTAAACTCATTTGTTCTAGTATCTTTTTTGCAGTTTCTTTAGGATTTTCTACATAAACTATCATACCATATGCAAATAAAGACAGTTTTACTTCTTCTTCTTTAATCTGTTAATTATTTTCTCTTTTTTCTTTATTATACTGGTCAGGACCTGCAGAGTATATCAGATAGAAGTGGTGAGAGCATACATTCTTGTCTTCTTTCTGATCTCAGAGTAAAAAGATTCTCTTTTACTAATATTTATGGGATTAGCTGTAGAGATTCATAGATGTCTTTTATCAGGTTGAAATAGTTCCTTTCTATTCTTAGTTTATTGAGGAATTTTATTAGGAGTGGCCACTGGATGTTTTACATGCTTTTTCTGTGTATGGTGAGATGATCACATTTTTTTTTTTTTAAGAGTTCATAAACATCATTTAGATCATGGTTAAAATACATTGATTAAACCACCCTTGAATTCCTGTGAGATAACTTCACTTGTTCATGATATATTATTTACTGTATATATTTCTGGAATTAATTTACAGCAAGTCCTCCAATTACATTTTGTCAGCATTGTTTTGGTATAACATTGATGAGATGTGAGAACTTAACTCTTGTTTATTATGTCAATTAGCCTGTGGTTAAATTGGTTTCATTATAGTTTGTTTTTCTGTAGGTCCAAGAAACTATCGAGAATGTTAAGTGAGAATTTGCTGTAAATTTTAAAAAGATTTTTTGCCTTTGTGTTCATTAGGGATATTGGCAGTAACATTCTTTTCATCTTGTGTTTGTCTGGTTTTGATTTGATAAGTAAATTTAAAAATCACATTCAGTGATTTAAAAAAAGTTCAGATATTGTATCAGTTCTAAAATTTCCATTTCTTTTTTATGGTTTCTGTTTTTCTGCTGTGATTTCCTATGTTTAATTATTTTGAGCATTGTTTTAAATTAATGAACTTTATTTAAAAAATAGTTTTAGGTTCACAGTAAAATTGAACAGAAATTATAGAGAATTCCCATATACTCCCTGTCCCTTCACCCCAACACACATGCACAACCTCCCCTACTATCAACATCTGGTACCACATTGATAGTAGGGGAGGTTGTATGTGTGG